TGTCAATCAATAACTACAGAATTTGTGGAAAGCAGGTGTAACAGCTGTGCCTTTCTATTTGATTTTGCACACTGAAGAAGTACAATATGTGTGAACATGAATTCAAACATTATCCCTGGACTGTTGTGTACAAATAGTAATTAAAAAGAATACTCTACATACATCTTTAGCTTTGAATCTACCTAGCCAGAAGTGGAAGGGCTATATCAGCACATCTATGCATTATTAGATCTCCTAGACTTTTGTGCCTCCACTTCTAGAATATTTTATCAACTCTTTTTTCATTGCATTTCAGTACTACAGAAGAACAATGGGTGACATCTGAGTATCAAGGTTCAGGGAAACTGTTAAAATGTATCAGTGACTGAAGAACTTTATTCCCATACTCACAGAAAACATTGTAATGACATTATTAGCTCTGTAAGGAGGAAATGCATGAAGAATAACTTAACCAGGAACAGTTCATCCCCAAGCACAAAGATTCCCCTCAAAGACAGCTCAGAGCAGAAAACTAACTGTAGGAGCCCTATAGGAGTTTTTCACTCACTACAGGGAGAACATAGGAAAACTACATTCAGAAAACTGAAGTAGCCACTGCAGGGTCTTCCACAAACTGAAAGCTGGACCCTGCTCTGAGTAGTAGTCAGATCACCTCAGCTGGAAGTGAGTTAATGGAACCAGACTCACCACCACCCCCAATCCCAAGCTGCTTCAGCAGAAAGACAAGTCACTTGCAAGGAACTGAAGAACCTTCCCTTACGAGATGTGTTGTCCACCAGCATTTTTACCCTGTGTGTAGACCTATGTGTTATGTGACCTATATGCTACATTTTCGATGTTATGTGTCCCCCTGATCACTCTCTGCAGAGTGTGGTCTGCCTTGCAGAAGACTGTACCTGGCATTAGAAGGCATAGGCCACCTTGTCTTTCCTTCCTTCTAACTTTCAACATCCAAAACTTTCCTTGATGGAACACAGAGCTGGACAGGTGGGTGGAGAAACTTACTGGCTCAAATCCAAAATGCTTAACAGCTGCAGTGACAAAACAAATAAAAACAATAATAAAAACTTGTGAAAAGAAGAAACTAAACCAAACCAATGACTAAAGAAAAGTAGATGCAAAGAAATACAGCTTAGGTCACTGCAAGTTAAAAGGCAGTTCACACGCAGTCAACAGGTTCACAAAGGGAAAGCCTGATTGAGTTCAATTCATTTGATATCCTTCTATGATAAGGTCACCCATTTAGTGAAGGGAAGGCAGTGGCTGCTGTTTTTCTGGATTTTAGTATGGCTTTTGATACTGTTATTCACAGAATCCTTCTGGACAAGTTGTCCCACTGTGGGATGAGCAGGTTCACAGTGTGCTGGGTGAAGAGCTGGCTGAAGGGCAGAGCTCAAAGGGTTGCAGGTGATAGATGCCCCAAGCCTGTCACTGTTTAAGAGGCATCTGGATGATGTCCTTAATGACATGTTTAACTTTTGGTCAGCCCTGAATTGGTCAGGTAGTTGGATTACATGACCATTGCAGGTCCCCTCCAATTGAAATAGCCTATTCTATTCTATTCTGATTCAAGCCAATTACTTAGCAGAAGTGAAGACTTGGAGCATATTCTAACCACCTATACTGCAAAGAATGCAAGAAGATTGAGAGAAGAAGTAAATGTAATTTATGGGTACTGCTAGAGGATGGAAGTTCATAGCTAAAGTGACTCCCCTTATGCATCCAGACAACATGAATGTATGGACTGACAAGCACTCAAAAAAGATCTAATTAAGACACTAGGTTTTTGACTAAAGAAAATTGCAATTATTTTTTTTTTTAATCAGCTGTTAAGGAGGTTTCAATAAGATTACACACACATCCTGCTCATACCTGTTTCCACCTGAAGCAGTTTTCCTCATTTTAATTTCAACAGTGCTTAAGCAAGTTTAACCTTAAACTAGCCAGGTTTAAGGTGAATATGACTTGGCATACCCTGTTTGCACATTTCAGCACATGCACCTTAATCTCCTGCAATTAGTTGGACTGCTACAACTTCATCATGGGGACAAAGTCACTACTTAATTGAGGAATTAAAACAGAAGATATTTTAACAGAATTGTTCTGAATGGAAAAGCCCTTTAAGATCATCAATGATGATCTTAAAGGTCCAACCATGAACCTAAGACTACCAAGTCCAGTGCTAAACCATACTCCTAAGCAGCACACCTACATGTCTTTTAAACACCTCCAGGGATGGTGATTCATCTGTCTCCCTGGTCAGCCCATTCCAACTCTGTCAGTCAAAAAGTTTCTTCATATATCCAAGCTAAACATCCCTTGGCACAACTTGGGACCATTTTCTCCTGTACTGGTGCTTGCTACTAGAGACCAACCACTACAACCTCTTTTCAGATAAGCTACAGGTGAGAATTTAAGGTGAGAAGACCTAAAGATCTGACTATGCACATTCACATCCAATAAATCTGAGCAAAGTCTCCAGAATACTAACACTGAACGGCAACTCGTTCAAATCAAGCTAATTCTGAAGCAGAGAGGCGAGCAAATACTAACTCGGGGGCAGGAATCAAACTTTTACTTCGTACAGGGTGTGTATGCGGAGGAAACGGGCGCGCAGGAGGGACAGCG